AATATAATGTTTAGGGATCCTATGATATGCTGAAACTATAAAGAAAAATTCTTTTTGTTTGCTTAGTCTTTGATACAATCAATTAAAAATGTAGACAAATTCAGTCAAAAAAATCTGTGCAGTCATAACCGACGTCTTGTGTTTGGGGGTTTCTTAGTTATTTTGGGCAAAAAAAGCTATCGGTGTAATACCTCTAATACTCTGTAATGCATCATCTTATGTTTCAGGTAATACTGAAAATTCTGCACCTTAGTTTCCCTTCTCTTATCCAGTCTCTGTCAAGCATTTCCTCTCAGACCAGTGTTAATACCACCCTAAGCAAAAGTGCTCTCCTCTAACCTTTTGGGAAATGGTCTAAGAATTCCAATATAGAATTTTATTTTTCTTGTCCTAGAGTAGTATATCACTGTAATATTGAACATAATATGCAGATATGTAGATCTCTGTTAAACAGACACCATTGACAGATGCACGAGCTGCACAGCTGTGAAACAATAGTACATCTTAATCCTGAGCCCTCTCCTCAAGATACTGCCATGGCCGTTCCACAGTGAAGCTCTAGACCAGGGGTTCCAGAGTGATTATTGTCCTGAGTGTATTTGAACTGTCCACTTTTAAAATTCTCCTTGTCAGAAGAAATTCTGTTCTTTTCCTGAAATATAGAAGATTCAGAGTCTTAACACAAATGTATACTTTGCTAAATTGTTTTGTACATTTACCTGCTTCTCTTGTAGCAATGTCTTGGTTTTAGAAATTGGTTTATTAGTGAATGCGTCCATTACTTGGGTTATGCTAGTTAGACTCCTAAGAAATTAGAGTACATTTTTCAAATCCCACATCATATTCTCTTGGCCTTAAATGCTGATTTTGAGTGATGTTTATTATGTGTAACAATTGTTTGTGGTTTGTTGAAGTATTGTTCTTAAAAGATAAATAAAAGGAAGTGTTACATCACTAACCTAGATTTCTTTTTATTTCTTTACTCATTTTGCTTTATGAAGCAAACTTCCACGCACATTATTAGTGATCTGCTACTGAGTGATTTCAGTTCATTTTAAGAAGTAGTTTCTTATAAAACCAGAATTTTCCAAATAAATAAAACTAAAAGTTTTCTTGATTTTGGTGTAAAATATACAGACTTTTCTCTTGTAGTATTACATATTATATATTTCTGAAAACACTAAAATATTGCACCCGGCTGATGGGTTGTTACCCAAAACGTATGAAGCTTTGTAACCAGAACACTAACAATAAATCCTGATAAGAATAGAATATTTTAAAAGATATATTAAATTTGTTACAAATAGAGAAATACTACAATCAATTTAGGATTAAAAGAGAGATAAAGGTAGCCTGATGGAAAGGTGTGCAAGGAAGGGTTGCACAGTGTTATGGAGGCAAGGGTAAAATGCATAAAGATTTGGAGAGAAGAGCTCATTAAGCACTTCCAAGAAAATGCATGTGGCCGAGCTGTGCCAACATGGGTTGAATGAGAATTGTGTATAGTGCTGTATTTTCAACACCTTGCTACTTTCCACTGTGTTAGCCTATTTTGGGTTCAGCTGTTATTACTTAGTAATGCAAAACCATAGGCTGGGGAGAATCATATACGAACCGATGTGATTTTCACACTGTACTAAAATGTTTCCCCTGTTTACCAGTGAGCTAATTCGTGTTACAGAAAAGCTTGGTAACAGAATAGGCTGTACTAAGAATATAGGAGGTGGCTTCTGTTTTTGCCTTCAGGCCTTTGGTAAATCCGTGACCTTTTTGTGATTTGATTTTTTGTGAAATGGAAATACTACAACTAAAAATAATCTAGCACAACTTTTTCCCCCTTGAGTATATTGTTTTAATTTTAAACTATAAAAATGATAAACATATTAAAGAAAAACTGGAAAATAGAAGAAAAAATTACCAACTTACTAATATAAACCACTGTTAGCTTTCTGTATATTTTCTGCTTTTCATCAGTTTTTAATAAGCTTTTTTGCTTACTTCACAAACTTCAAGACAGTCATTTTTAATGACTACTGAATATTAGATTGACTAGATATGCTTTGGTTTACTTAACTATCTCTCTAATAAAATATGAAAGTTGTTTATAGTTTTCTATTATCTTTCATAATTCTTGGATGAACATGTGTGTGTGTGGGTAAAAGAGACAGAGGAGAGAGAGAGAATCTTTTTCCCTATATGGGATTATTTCACTGAAGTGACTCATAAGTGGAATTATTGGGTCAAAGAATATGATATTTTTAATGATTCTTGATGCATATTGCCAGTTAGCTTTCCAAAATGGCCCTAGATCTTTGCCCAAAATTCTGTTATGTATTTTTTTAAACCATTGCTAAACTGGGCAAAAATAGATATTGTTATTTTTATTACTAATATTTGTGCTTACTACATACATACCCAGTACTGTGCTAAGTACATTATCATATTTGATACCACACTTTTTATTTGCTTTGCATTTCTTTGATTGTCAGTGAAGTTGAATATTTTCTAATGTATTTGTTTGCTGTTTATATACTTATTTATGGGAAAGATCATTTGCCTAGTTATTGTGGTGGACTTAGTGTTCTAAATGGATTGTGTTCTAAAGTATTCTAACAGGATAGTTTAGAAACAGCTCTTTTCTCTCCTTGAAAATACAGTGACAGTTCAAACCTTACTAAGAGAATGTCAGCCTTTCATTATTAATACTTGATTTTTTAACTTTGCTTGGCTGTATACTTTGTGTAATCTAGCATATTTGCTAACATAGTATTGCTTTATACCTTAAAGTAATGGGATTTTATTCTAAACTTGTAATTCAGAGGAATAACATATTTGCAACCATCTGAATTAGTTTCTGTCATCAATATATTCTCATATCTGTCAGCAGTATATCTGTTTTAAGTAATATTGCTAAAAATATAAGTTCCTTAAGAGAGTGAGTGTACTCTACTGGACAAAAAACTTGAATTAGGCAAAAAGCACAGCATTTGGTACAGAGTAGATATATATGTTGAATCTGAAAGTTCACTAGCAAACTACTTCTTAAGTAGAAGGAAAGTGGGTCATAGAAAGTCTGAGATTTCGCGAAGGAATGATGATCAGAGAGAGTAGTAAGTATCTGGGTAAATTAATAAAAATTAACTATATAAACAATAATAATAGCGTCTTGTGAGATTAAAAATAAAGAAAAAGCTAGAACTAAAGTACTAGTTATTTTAGTTATTTACTAAATACCAGGTATGTTATAAACCAGGAGAGGGTGATTGGAGCTAGTATTTAAAAGATCTTTTTATTACTCAGGAGAGGCTAAAGGTAACTGGATTTTGATAAGTATGCATGGTAAAACATTTAAGGTAACACTTTAGTAATAGAATATTCATCAAAGAATTTTGGTTCTCAAGTCAGTCTGCCTGGGTTTAAATTCTGGTGTTTCCAATTACTAGCCAGGCAACCTCAAACAGGATGCTTAACCTCTCTTGAGTCATTTTCCTCATCTATAAAATTGGGTTAATAATAATGCCTGCTTTATAGGGTTTAGTTGATGGTTAATTGAGACATAGTATGTAGTGTTTTAGCACAATAGCTGGCCTTAAAAATATTAGCTGATGCTATTGATAATTGAGTGCTCTGAGACTGCATCTACTAATAGCTACCAGAATTCAGATCGGCTGTTTTACATCTAAAATTGACCAGTTTTTGTAATTCTTGGAGTAATTTGCCAGCTATGTTCTAAGTAAAATAAAACTTGGGAGGTACTTCTCATATTCAGTTATATAAGCATAAGTAGCTTGAATAGGATAATGGAAGACAGGGAAGGTTTTTCACTGAATTCAGAAACAATGTACCTTTATGAACCATTGAAAATGGGTTAGTTCTATCACTTTTCTCTTTGGTCAGGTATTCTCCCATGCTAAATTTTTTGAATTGAGGTGTGTTTCAAAAGCAAAACAAAAGTCGTTTGAGAAAATAGAAATAAGAAGGGATAGTTTAGAAACAACTTTTTTTCCCTCTCCTTGAAAATACAGTGACATTTCAAACTTTATTAAGAGAAAGTTAGCCTTTCAGTGTCAGTACTTGATGAGATAATATAGAATGCAGAGTTAAAACTGGAATTTACAAAAGAAATAAATATAAATTTTGCTGATAATCAATTTTAGTGAATAAGATATGTTATCTTTTTTTTTTTTTTTTTTTAGTGAGGAAGATCAGCCCTGTGCTAACATCTGCCAATCCTCCTCTTTCTTTTTTTGCTGAGGAAGACTGGCTCTGGGCTAACATCCGTGCCCATCTTCCTCCACTTTATATGGGATGCCGCCACAGCATGGCTTGCCAAGTGGTGCATCGGTGCACGCCCAGGATCCGATCCGGTGAACCCCGGGCCGCCGCAGCGGATCACGCGCACTTAACCACTTGCGCCACCGGGCCGGCCCAGAAATGTTATCTTTTTAGTATGATAATCTATAAAAAATACCAGATGTTCTTTATCCCTTTACAGTAAATATTTCAGATTTGAGGAAAGGGTTTATTTAGAATTATTGTATAAGCAATATTTTAAATTTGGTTATTTTCTGTATTGAGCCATAGGTATGGCTATTATAATAAAGTTATACATCCTTAAGATGCATAGATGATAAAGTCTTGTAATCCAAAGAAATAGTCTGTTCATCTTTAATAATAATAACCATTACTTATTAGGTGGTTACTGTGGGCTAGGGACTTTAATAAGTATTTAAAATACATTATTTAATTTTGTTAATATCACCCATACGTATGATGTTACACTGCTGCATTTTATTTACAGCCATTTCAAATAATATGAAATAAGTTCTGTTCCTTGTATTGTAACCTTTAATGTCTTCATTATACAAATATTGTGGTTAAAAATTATGTGGAATAATTGCAAAATTTCTCTGATTTGGGAATATTTATGTATTTTCTCTATCCGTGAGCTTAAAAATCTTAAGTATTGCATTTATTGATAATTGTTTCCTTTGTTGCAGAACTATAAGAGTAAATGGGTCCAGTAATTGGAATGACTCCAGAAAAAAGAGCTGAAATCCCAGGAGCTGAAAAGGTTGCAGGATTAAGCCAGATTTACAAAATGGGAAGCTTGCCTGAAGCTGTTGATGCTGCCAAGCCAAAGGCCACTCTAGTGGACAGTGAGTCAGCAGATGATGAACTCACAAACTTGAACTGGCTTCATGAAAGTACTAATCTTCTAACAAACTTCAGCTTCGGAAGTGAGGGTCTTCCAATTGTCAGTCCATTGTATGACATAGAGGGAGATGATGTGCCATCCTTAGGACCATCTTGCTGTCAGAACCCAGAAAAAAAATCAGCAACTTCAAAGCCTCCATATTCCTTTAGTCTTCTCATTTATATGGCTATTGAACACTCTCCAAATAAATGTTTGCCTGTCAAAGAAATTTATAACTGGATTCTGGACCGCTTCCCATATTTTGCTACTGCACCAACAGGCTGGAAGAATTCTGTTCGACATAATCTGTCACTGAATAAATGTTTTCAGAAAGTGGAAAGAAGCCATGGCAAGGTCAGTGTTTATGAACATTGCTATGTTTAGGGAGGTGGGGGAAAATTAACATGGAGGCCTTAAAATATGGGGAAATCAAAGGAAGACAAAAAATAGTCAAATAAGATTACTTCAGCTTGAGCTTAATTATGTTCATCATTTGCTTTCATTCGAGATGTTTTTAAATTTCTTAAGTATTGCTATAAATCTAGCAGAGTTATGTTCAGGCTACTATAGGTACATAAATTAGTTTTTTAATGTTCTAATTTTTTATTCTTAGTTTCTGTAGTGTTTCAGTCACTCTATCAATGTATTCTTATTTATTCATTGTGACAGTCTCTGCCTTAGAATTGGAATGTAGACCATTTACATTAATTGATGTGTTTGGGTTTAAATCTATCATCGTGCTATTTGTTTTCTGTTTGCTCTATCAGTTTTTTTTTCCTTTTCCCACCTTTTTATGGATTGAGTATTTTTTTATGATTCAGTTTTATCTCTATTATGGGCTTATTAGCAATTTTTCTTTTCTTTTTTTTTTAATGGTTGCTATGCAGTTTTCAGTATATATCTTTAATTTATCAGTCTACCTTCAAATAATATTATGCCATTTTACTTATTATCTGGCCTTTTACAGAAAAAGTGGACTAATCCTGCCCTATCTGAATGAATTCCTTTTTCCTGGAGAAGTTTATTTAACATTTCTTATGGTTCAGGTTTGCTAGCAATGAAAAGTTTTTAACCTTTTTGTGGAGGATAGGTATAGAATTGTAGGTTGACAGCTTTTTTTCTTTAAGTGTTTTACAGATGTTACTCTTGTCTTCTGGCTTGCATACTTTCTTATGAGAAGTCTGCTGCCATTCTTATCTTTGTTCCTCTGTTTGTAATGTTTCTTTTTTTACTGTCTTCAAGATTTTTCTCTTTATCACTACTTTTCAGCAGTTTGACTATGATGCGCCTACGTGTGTTTTGTTTATTTTTATCCTGCTTTGGTTTTTCAGAGGCTTGTGGATCTGTGGTTTGTTGTCATTTATTAAATTTAGAAAATTTTTGCTTATTACCTCTTCAGATATTTCTTGTGGCTCACTTCCTACTCTGGGACTTTAAAAAATATATTAGACCATTTGCTATTGTCTCACTTCTTGATTGCTTTCCCCATCTTCCTACTCTTTTCTCTTTTTGTTGCAGTTTGGATAATTTCTATTGCTGTTTCTACAGGTTCACTCTTTTCTCTATTGTGTTCGTTCTGCTGATAAGCCTGATAAAACTTCTTCATATTTTTCTTTTCTAGCATTTTCATTTGCCTTTTAAGAAATAGTCTCCATCTCTCTGCTAAAATTTCCCACCAGATCCATAAACATATTAATCATAGCTATAGTGTCTGTCTAATTTCAGTATCTGGTCTATCTCTGGGCCTGGTTTTGTTGACTATTTTATCTCCTGTTTTTGTGTGTGTTTCTTAATTTTATATTAAATGTCCAATTGTTTGTGAAAGAATGGTAGAGACTGAGGTAAATAATATTTCTACCCACAAATAGACATGCCTCTACTTCTGTCAGGTTGTTAGTGTGAACAGGTATTGGTCAATCTAGTTAATAATTGAGCTGGGTTTAGAGTTTGTGGTTGTCATAGTTACCTCCAGTGTACCATAGGCTTCAAATTCCTACAGAGATGGACTGCCAATACTTTGTGCTTACTGTGAGGCCTGGAGTGTCAGATGATTTTTTATCAGCATTTCTGCTTCACCTTTATCTTTCAGCTTGTTACACGTTTGGGGATGGGAGGGGGGTTGAATAGTTCTCTCTGTGCTCTTGGCCCTCCCATAGCAATAGATTGGTATAGCTTGTTACTTGGTGCAAGGCTCTTGGTGCAGGCAGGGTGGGTATCTCAGTTCTTCTGCTCCAGTTTTAATCTTAAGCAGGTTCTCTATGCCTGTGGCTCAAGAGTGGGACTTTCCTTGCTTCCTCCAGCAGTGGACAATCCCTCCCATTTACTCAGAGTGGAGTCTAGAGTTACATTCATCAATAGCCAGTTATCTACATATGGCTAGTAGATGGCATGTTGGACAGCAGGGATATAGAATATATCTGTCATTATAGAAAGTCTTATTGGACAGTGCTCTTCCAGAGCTCAGGCCAATTTCCTACTGATTCCCATCATAGTAGTTAAACTCTGCCTAGTATCAAGTGGGAGATCCTGGGTACAAATGAGTGACCATTTCCTTTCCCAGTGGCAGCAGATCTCTGCTTTGTATCATTGGAGGATCTGGGCATGAGCCCTTCTCCTAATGACCCATTGCCTAGTGTCAGTGAAGTGTGAGGATAGGTGGATTTTGTACTTCTCTCCCAGCAGCAGCCATTCTTTGCTTGGGACTGGATATTTTGCCTCTCTCTCAGTGTTAGCTTTTACTTCATATCAGAGCTTTGTCCAGGGTGGTGTAGGCAGGTTTTGTGCCTATCCTATAATGACACCTGATCTCACCTTATGCTCATTTGGGGACTGGAGCATACATAGGCTTTGCCTGAGATCCTTACTCCAGCCTCAAACCTTGGTAGGTTCTGCACATCTGTCTCCGTTTCCAAGGGTGTCTCTCTTAGGTCTCCTGCGCTGCCTGCAATCTTCCTCTGGATACTGGATGGAGCCTGTGGAAAAATGCTGGCTAGTGGATGCAGACTCTTCACCTGTCTGGGAATGCCAGGGATGTTAAATTATCTTGCTGGCTCACACTTGGCTATTTGTTAAAATTTGAGTAGTTTTTTTCTTACCTTCTTTTATAACCCCCACTTCTTCCGTGCTCTGCCAAAGTAAAACAGTTTGTATGTTCCATCTCTCCTCACAGGGACCTGTCACATTTCAGAATTCAGTTCTTTCAGTTGCCTGCAGCCTTAGCTCTTGGATGGGCTCATAAAAAATTATGATTTTATAGATTATATTTTTTTCTTGTGAGGCTGGGAGTGATATTCTCTTATGGCTTTCTATACCCCAAGTGGTAGCAGAACTCTCCTATTCTTATTTGGAATAAAAATTAAAAGAGCAAGTAATTATATTTTTAGATGACTGAAGGATTTTCTAGGACAGTGGTGTTCAAACTTGAATGTACATGTTGATCATCTGGGGATCTTGTTAAAATGAAGATTCTGATTCAGCAAATCTAGGGTGGAGACTGAGGCTTTCATTTCTAACAGGCTCCCAGGTGATACTGATGCCGCTAGTCCACGGACACACTCTGAGTAGCAAGACTTTAGGGCACATCATCTTATAGCTACCTTAAAGGAGGTTGTATTAGTTATCTATTGCTATGTAACAAATTGCTAGTAAACACATTCTCTACTGCACATGGAATATATATGAAGACCAATTATGTGCTAGGCCATTAAAAAAGCCTCAGTAATTTCAAGGGATCAGTCTCTGTCATAACTAGCCTCCAAGATGCCTCCCAAATGAGCCCCACCTTCCAGTATTCATGCTCTTGTAGTGTCGGGTCCCCTCCAATATTGAGTAGGGCTGACTTTTGTAACCAAGAGAATATTGTGGAAATGATGGAGCATGCCTTTTGGGGCTAAGTCATAAAAGACATTATGTCTTCCGTCTTGGGCTCTTGGATAACTAGCTCTTTGGGAAGCCAGCTACCATATCATAAGGACACTTAAGCAGGCTTGTGGAGAGGCCCATATGGCAAGGAAATACAGCCTCCTGCTAATAGCCATGTGAGTGAGCCATTTTGGAAGTAGATTCCACCAGCCCCAGTCAAACTTTTCTTTAGATAACTGAAAGTATTGGAAATTCTGAATGTATCTTTTCCAGCATGCATCATCAGATTTCATTTTTGAATTGTACCACTTAATTCTTTTCTAGTTTTAGACCTATTCTGTTTACACTTGTGGTGGGACATAAAAGGGAAACTGTTAGTTATTTAGGAATATGGTACAGGAAGAGTGGTGATGTTGTAGGATTAAAACTCTAAGTTTGGAAGTCATCAGCATTGATTTTCAGTAGAAAATTCTAAGAAAAGTATGGTGTAATGGAAGCTAAGGGAGGGTAGGTTTACATGTGAATGAGCAACAGTGTCAAATGTTGCAGAAAACTTGAAAATGATTGGCTAGGAAGAAGTGATTGAGACAAGTAACAGCCAAAAGATTGGGATTCAAAATGTATAAGCAGTGATGTGCTAGTAAATATTTAACAGTTGGGTGGGGGTCGGGATGAGGATGTAGCTTTTGCAGATTTCCGTGGTATAAATATTTCCATCACGGCCAATTCAAGCTACCACTATTGTGTCATTAAATGTGAAGTTGATAGATGTTTATAATTAGCACACTACTGTATGTAAGGAACTCATATAATTCAGTAAGAGAAAGAAAACCTAAGAAAAATGGACAAGAATATGAATAGGCAATTCACAGACAAGGAAATACATATGGCCAATAAACATATGCAAAGATGTTCATCCTCACTAGTAATCAGGGCCATACAAACTAAAAGAACAAAAAACCAGTTTTTACCCGTTAGAATGCAAAAATTTTAAATGTTTGATAATATCAAATTAGATGAGGACATGGGAAAATAAATATCAGTAGTTTCACACCATTGATAGGAGTGTAAATTAGTCTGACCATTCTTGAGGGCAAGTTGGCAATAGTTATTAGAATTAGAAATGTGCATGTCCTTTGATCTAGTGAATCAGATTCTGATTTCTCCCCTGGAGTAACAGTCATACTTACATGCAAAGAGATGTGTATTAGAATATTCACAGCGGTATTGTTCGTAATAAAACTTTTAGAAGAGTGTGTCCAGTGTGGTACACTGGTAGTGGTAGTGATCAAAAGGACTTGTTCTTGTCCATAATTTTTAAATGTGTGCATTATTTATATAATTAACCTGAAGCATTTTTGAATGCTTAGAGAAAGAAAAGAATTGAGGAAAAATATTCCTTATGAACAGGAGAGCATACAGTCCAGAGTACAAGGAGAGTGTGATAAAGAGAAAGAAATCGTCTTAAGAGATAATAAAGAACACAAAGGTAAATACAGAGATTGTAATATATTGGGACGAAACTAGCAAGGTATTGCTACAGGTCAGAGTGGGAGGGAAGGAACTGGTAGGTGATGGTCCTCACAAAAATCACTAGACCACTTTGCTTAAAAGTCTGAAATTTGGACAGAAAGTGATACATTCAAGCAGGAATGGGAACACCTGTGGATTTTTTTTTTTTTAATTTATGAAATACTTCTTGAATCAGTGCCTCAAAATGACAGTATTTCTCTTCCAGTCTGCAGAAGGTGAGTAAGTTACACTTACTTCCATGAGATGTTGGAATTGAATTTGGCAACCTTGACAGCACTTTTCTGATGAATAGCTGTTATCTAGAGATGATAATCTCAAAAAGAAAGCAAGATGGCAAGATTCAGGTCAAACTACAAAGTGGTAATGATACCCAGCCAGCTGGTATAGCTGCTGATTAGATTTTTCCTCCTATCATCCATAGCATAGTTAGTACTCTCAGAAGACAGATCTAAAAATCTTGGCTTAGTATTTATCTGCCTCAGGATTTTAAAATTACAAAAGTTAGACATGGTGTTATTTTGTTTGTTTTGGTTTTATTTTTATGTTTTAAATATTAACATCCAAGTCTTACATTTACTTTTCTAACTTTTTATAAAGCCAAACTAAGACATTATAACTGTGAGATTTTACCTGGGAAACATGAAATTAAAAGTTTTTCCTGGTTTAATACGGTTTTAGTCTGTACATTTGCATAGTGATGACTTGCTTCAATAGCTGAATCCCAGGAAAAGAAGTGATACTAACCACTATAAAGTTCATGCTATAAGCAAGAGTTATGAATTCCCTTTTTAACTAGTTAATACCTTTTAATTCAGTGGTTTTTAAAACCACTGAAAAGGTAGTCAAGGGGAAACTCTATTAAAATGTACAGGGCAACTACATAAAAACATTTGAGGAATAGAGAACATTGCTTCTTCTCCCAATCTGTTCTTTACAACTTCCATTAAGGTAAATCTTTTTAAAGTTTATTTCTTAGTACAGTCCTCATTTCTTCAAAACCTTCAGTGATTCTCTATTAAATAAGTCCAGAAACCTTAGAGTTCCAAAATGCAAAATAGTAAATGAGACAATGCACATTTCCTGTTTCCATTGCACAAAAGATTTATCTTGTTATGGGCAAATTTAGTTTAAAACAATTCTTAACTTCTAAAACTCTTTATTACTTGTGTTCTGTCATCTAAGCACAATAAAAAAGAGCCAAAGTTTTTAAGTGAGAGTTAGTTAGAAATAAATTCCTTTTTGCTGTAGACTCTAAAACCTAGATTAACAAATACATAACTTTATCTCTTGTCACTGATAGTTGGTGAACAGACCCAGTGAAAGGAAGTGCTGCCATGGTAACCTAAACCAGACTGTTATTTGGAGACCTTGCTCAAGATACTTAACTGCCCTGAACTGCAAGTTTTCAGTACCAGTTCTTCCAATTTGCTATTTCAAGGAAATAGCAGTTCTATGATCAAAACAATTTGCAATTATCTCACAATAGAATTTGAAAAGTAGACTTGAACTAAACAGTTTCTAGGAGTGTAATCTCAGGAATACCAAGATAGAATGTGGCTAGAATTATTAAAATAATTGTCTTAGTCAATATGTAAAAAATAATTCATGCATATCTGTTCTGTATGAAACTGAAGTGGTTTTGGGGCAAAGGATGTGTGGGTGCTAACATTTAAAGTTTTATTTCCCTGTCATTGAAACACATTTATCATTTGGGCCAAGTGACTGAAAATATATCTAATTTAAGAAGTTTCATCACTTAATCCAAAAATAGATTTGTGAAACTTGACTTCCTTTGAAAAAAAATCAAAATTTCAAATACTTGTTTAATATAGTTGATGTGATATCTTGCTGCTGAAGGCAAGAAAAAAGTTTCACCTGATAGTATGGTATGTTTCTTTCTATATTACAGTGTGATATGACACCCATGGTTTTTCTTTTCTTATATATTTGAGTTGCTAGCATGTTAAAAACTGCCTTACACTCAATTACCATACTTTTCCTCAGACAAGAGCTTTTTTCCCTTCTAAATTTACTGTATCCCTTGTTCTTTACTACCTAACTTTTGTCTTTTATTCAGAATTAATTGATTTTTGTTCTTATTGTTGATTTTTTAAAAATTCCCTCATCTCTTAGAAGTAAAGGAGTAGGAATATACTGTTATTAAACCATATAAACTCTTACTATATACCAATTTCAGAATAATCATTTAGTATTCACATATTTTGCAGCCCTATGTCACTTACATTTAAATTACCTTATTTGAATCTCATCACAACTCAGTGAAGTGGCCTGGTTTTTTGTTTCATGGATGAAATGTGAATGAAAGGGCTGACTCTTAGAGATTAAATGATTTGTCCAATATCACATAGCTAATCAATAAGCAATGATTAGGACATCAGTTTTTAAACATGTGGAACAGTGTTCTTACAGTATGCCATTCTTCTATAATAATTATGACATGATATTCAGAGATAAAAGAGCCTCAATAATAGACTAATACTACTTTGAAAAAGTGTTTGGGAAATGGAAGCACTCCAAAATGCATCACATTAAATCTTGCAGCAATCATAATAGCTTACATCATATAGAATTTTATACAAGCAAAAAGGGTCAGGGAAACAGAACACATGTAGATTTTGTTGTCTAAGTAACTGTTAATGTAGTTGCAAAGTGTAATTCAAATTTTAAGAAAGAGTTTTTGAAATAGAAAAGGTATAATATAAAAACCAAAATTAATAACAGTTTGAATCTCCCCAATCTTCTGAATTAGTTCTGAGGTTTTGAGGAAGTTTTGTACATCACATGGTGGGAGAGGGGGCAGGTTATTCCTTATTTAACTTTCAACATTTATAGAGAAAATATATCTTAAAAATATTGATTAAAATTTAATGCCAATAATTCATAGAAGCAAAAAATTAGGCTGGAGGAAACAGGAACAATTTTTACTACAAAGAAAATGAACATAAAACATATCAATAATAGTAGTAGCCAGTGTTTATCGAGTGCTTATGTGTCTGGCAGTGTTCTAAGGACTTTACAGAAATTAACTTTTATAATACAGTAATTCTTGAAGTAGGTGCAGTTTTATATATAGATATATTTTGAGCATGCTAATACACAGAGAACATAGACATTTTTCTAGAGGTTACACAGCTGTTAAGTGACAGGTCCTGAATTCCAGAGTAGGCAGTCTGGCTCCAAGGCTTGGACTCTTAACCACTGTACAAGTAGCTCTGGGGAAATGGGATGAGATTGCAGGTGGACCTTGTGCTTGCATGGCTGTGGGTGTGAATGTGGTATGTTTGTAGGGATATGCTTGTAGGCGGGCTTCTGTTCAGGATATGCAGGTAGGGATGTAGGTAGCTGAGGAAGTAGGAAAGATTTATCCTGAAGGAAGAGGTAGCAGGTGATATCACAGCTCCTGAAGTCCTTCAGTTATTTCATTTGACTAGCTCAACTAGTGTGTATAGCATATTGTTGGTTTTTTAGAATACTCTCTTAAATTTATCAATTCCATTCTTTTTGTAATTTCTAGTTTATCAATTTATCAATTGTATTTTTATATAATTTTATGTAATATGTTTACGTTATATACTATTATATAATTTTTTTTTCTTTTTTCCCCCCTAGATGTGGTAAAAACTTATTTCAGATATTTCAGTCCTTGTTTAAGAATGAAAGTGTTTGAGGATATAAATTTGCCTTTAAATAGAGCTTTGGCTACAAGGCTTAGTTTTGATATGACTGTGTTTCTTATACGCTTTATTTACTAGATAATCTGTAATTGTAGTTTGGATATCTTTTTAATCCAAGAGTGTTTATAAATTTTCAAAGTGCAGAGAATTTTATTGTTGTTGAGATTGTTAAATTTTCTTTCTTTTTGCACTGGAGTATAAAACTGTGATCTTTAAAAGGGAATTTATTTTTCTTCATAGCTTAATCAGTGTTTGTAGTTTTTCCATTAATATGTATTTGGAAAGTATATTCTACAAGAATTTATTAGTTACATCAGTCTTTCTCATAAGTGTTTCACAGAACAGTAGCTTCCTCAAATGTTACCTGGGACAAAGAGGTTCTGTATCAAATAACTTTGGGAAACCACATAAAACAGGTTTAATTATAGAACTTTTTAGATCCCTTAACCTGCTAATATGTAGTGTGACCTTCTAAGAAGGTGGGAGGTGAAATAAAATAGATTTTTTTTTTTTTTTTGCTGAGAAAGATTCGCCCTGAGCTAACATCCATTGCCAATCTTCCTCTTTTTGCTTGAGTAAGATTTGCCCTGAGCTAACATCTGTGCCAGTCTTTCTCTATTTTATATGTGGGTCACTGCCACAGCATAGCCACCAACAGATGGTGTAGGTCCATGCCTGGGAACCAAACCCAGGCTGCTGAAGCGGGGCACACCAAACTTAACCACTAGGCCACAGGGCCGGCCCCCTAAAATAGCATTTTTCAAACCCATTTCAAGGAATTCTCCCATAGCCTGGCCTTTTCCCTGCTAGATAGATAATATTAGTGAAGTTCTTCAGGTGTCTTGTCCACTTACCTTCCTGGTAAGCTATTCCCTCACATTAGGGAAACTGCATCAGGCAAGCTCTTCTTTCAGGCACCTCTCATTTGCAAGTTAGCAGGTACTTTTATGGTTTCTCTTCCAGTAATCATACACATTCCATTATTTTTAGATTCTATTGATTATTTTCAAAGAATCTGGGCTTATGTGCTTATTGCCATATTATCTAGAAGTCCCTCAAATGTTGCAACCTAACCGTTTTGAGGGAAGGGATGGTGATGCTTCCTCTTTTTTATCTTTTACAGGAGTCTTTTCCAACCTCAGTTGTTGACTTACTATTCTTAGAGACTTTTGCCATGATTTTCATTAAATTGCTTACTTTTTAGTATAATGATGTACACCTGAAATTTATACAATGTTATAAACCAATGTTACTGCAAGAAAAAAATAAATAAATAAAATAAATAAAAATTATTTGCTTTTTAAATTTAAACTTATTTCAAATGGGAACTTAAACATTACTGTTAATGCCATTAAAAAATAAAAATTATTTTTTGATATGTCACTTAATGTCATATTCATGTTGCATATCACTTCTGGGGAAGTGATGCTGCGTAGAAAGTTTAATTTTTATTTTTCTTTTTGCCTTTTCTATAACAACAATAATAATGATAATGGCTAACATTTGTTGACATCTTAGCATGTGGAGGGTCACCTTGGACAGCCCTCCATGCTGTTGACTGTACAGCTTGGGGTTGTACCATTCTCACAGACTGTGGTGTGAGTGGCATGTCCTGGAGTTGTGCAGTCCTATGCCCCTATATGCCAGGTACTGTGCAGAGTACTTTATACATAATTTAATCCACATAACAACCCTATGAGGTAGATACTGTTATTATCCCTACTTTACAAATGAGGGAATAATGGCCCAGGGAGATAGAAGTTAGTTAACTTTTCTAAGGTCACATAGCAGGTGAATGACAGAGCTGGAGATAAGAACCCAGGCAGTCTGCCTCCAGGGCTTTTAATCACACAGTGCATTCATAGCAAGCTTACTTCAACTTTTGCATTGTACTCAAAGGTACCACAGGGGGCTTTTTTCCCCACACATTTATTAAAAACATTCCGACACTGATTGTGTGTGTCGTAAAGTTCCAGGTTATTAATACTTGTGTGTTTTATTCTAGGTTAATGGAAAAGGTTCCTTATGGTGTGTTGATCCGGAATACAAACCCAACCTTATGCAGGCTCTGAAGAAGCAACCTTTTGCTTCTCCTGCATCTCCACAAAGGTACAGGATCTTCCATATAAGTGTCGGTGGTGATTTATAAGATTTCATTGTATGAGAGGGAGAAACTTAACAAAGTTGTAGGGGTTTTTTGGTTTTTCTATTGTATAGAGAATTATTTTTGATAAGACATTAGCTTAAGGCATTTTTACTTATAATCTAACTTGTGTTATTAGGAAACAAAATATTGCATAGGTGTGAACTTAAGTTCTGGAAAATGTAGTCAAGACTGAATACGTTATAACTAAACTTGAAAGAAAGTTATAATATGATTTCAGGTACAAAAAGGTTAAATCATTTTAATTGTCTGCAATACTAATGCTGACCTAAAGATGTGGGAAATTTAAAGTATATTTAAAAATTTTTAAGTTTAAAAATTTTTTAAATAAGATGATTAACAGTTTGTCGTTGCAACATTTTTATATGCACATTTATACTTCTTTTTCAATTTAAATTTTTTTCTCTTAGCACATTCAATATTTGAAAATTATGTTCAAGTAAAAATTGAACATAAGTCAAAATTTGAGGTGGTCTCAAATTTTAAAATGTTTGACAAATAAAATAATGTTTTGGGGTTTTTTTATTTGTTTTGTTTCTGCTGGTAAATATAATTGTAGTATATTTCCTTGGCTTTTGTTTTCAAACTCAGTGACTCCCATTGATCTTATAACTTTCCCATTTTAAGTCAAATCTGAATATGATACAACCTCCTTAAATCTGATTTTATTTCCCTTTCCTGAAGAAGGCTTCAGAATCTTTTTTTGGATTCTCTTATGTACAGTCATTTGAGTTAAAAACTCCAGATTTTGTCAAGATACTTTAAGATACTTTTAAGTGTAGTCTATAATGGTTAATTTGTTTTCTGAAAAATTTTAAAGCTCTTTAATAAAATAATAAATGGAAAATTTTAAACATATGCAAAAGTAGGGAGAATGTTATAATGAACTCCCAGCTGTGACAATTATCAATATAGTATTTAATTTCTTAAAGTATTGTTGGATACCTTTTAGAGGAGCGGCTGTAGCTGAAATACGGTAAAAAAAATCAGTAAGGTTAAAGTTGAAATGTCAGTAATATATATATACTCATTGATATTTTAAGCTTGTTCATTACCATATTAGTAGATTAGAAGGATCATTGTAATAAGAACTACTGAGTGGTTTATCCTTATGAAATGAAACCTAGAAAAGAAGTTATCAGAGTTTATATCCTAATTGTTTGGGAGTTGATATCTTCTTTATTAATTAATGTTGGTGCATATGAGGTGTCTTAGTTAAAAAAATAATAATTTAGAAACTAATGGTAAATTCTGCTGATGATCACTTGTGTGTTTTATTTAGCTGTGCTCTTTTTATTAAAGATTAAATGGGAGAATTGGCACTCGTTTGTATACCATCAGAAATACAGTTTACTGGGCCGGCCCCGTGGCTTAGCGGTTAAGTGCTCGCGCTCTGCTGCTGGTGGCCCGGGTTCGGATCCCGGGTGCGCACCGATGCACCGTTTCTCTGGCCATGCTGAGGCCGTGTCCCACATACAGCAACTAGAAGGATGTGCAACTACGACATACAACTGTCTACTGGGGCTTTGGGGGAAAATAAACA